ACAGAATATACAAAAAAAAATCATTAAAAACGGTCAAGCCGTTCCGGAGGAGTGCGACCACAAACACCGTGACACGAGATATTTTTATATTAGATAGAGTGAGTTCGTTAGAACTAATATTTAAATTAAATCAGGTATACTAATATTATAAAGAGGCAGAGTTTGTTTGTTTGAGCGCGATTAAAAAAAATCTTTTTTATTAGATAGCCCATTTATTGAGCCTGTTTAAAGCTATAGGTTATATACTCGTAGCTTATAATATATGGTCTATCTATTCCATAATATAAAATAAATAAAAAAATAATTAATTAATTAAATAAGTATAAGTTTGTTCTTAAGTACGTACTTAGGAACAAACCCGAGAAAAGCGAGGGTGAGTCGCTAGTTTGAATTATATAAAAACAAACAAATCAATATTTGAATCAAATAAATTTGAGATCATTTGGAAGACAAAGTACAGAATCCACCGTAATAACTTAGCTAACAGTATTTTTGGTGTATGGCCAACGTCAAGTTGATCCAAGTCAAGTCGTGCTGAGAATGCTAGGCTTGGAATTGTAGAGCGCTGAGAGAAGTACACTATGATACTATACGAACAACAAATTACTCACGAACGTAGTATTCACGAGATTTATCATAGTGGCTTCTTTCTTTACTTACTGCTAGTGTATTTATCGAAATATTGTGTATTGTATATTGATACATTGTTTTTAGACGCATGAAAATTGAACCCACAACCAGAGCCCTTTAAATACCTATTAATTTGCACCATGATATTGGATAATATTCTAAAATTACAGAGTATTTAGTGAATACACTAAAGTAACATGTTTTTTTAACATTAAACGCTTCTGTGACTAATAAATAACACTCGGCCTAAGCCAATGCAAAAAACAGGGTTTCTCAAAGCGAAACATACGATACTATGGAAAAAATGGAAAAAAAACTAAGTTTTCTTGATCATTGCATTATGAAAACGTTAATTATGTTTGTTTTTATGATGTAAAAAGTTATTATTTAATATTGATTACAATCATTGCGAAAGAATTATTAAATTCGGTTAAGTAATGTCAGAGCTTATATATTACAAACAAAAACACAAATCTATTCTCTTTCAAATATTAGTAAAGACAAACGCGCGGATCCACTGGTAAATTCAGTGTATAATGAGTTAGAAGAATTTTCTATATTACAATCAAAGTAAAATCATTATAAAATCCTACCTATCGCAAAACAGGGGATTGTGTGACTATAAGTTTGAATAACCCTGCCTTGAAATTTAAAGTGAATATTCATTGGCCAATGTAGAAGTGCATTAAGCCTGGATTTATTTCTACTCTTTAGATTCTAAAAAAGATAAAAGAAAAAAAAGAAAAATAATGGTAAAAGCTTTATAAAAGTTTTGTTTATAATTTTTTAAGTTTACGAATGATTCGTAAGCTTAATGTTTCGCTAAATAAAATATTAAAAAATTATAAAACTACGTCAATTATTTGCATATAAAAGCACGCATACCATATACATCTGACAGATTTGTACGAATATCAAAGCACTGCTAGTAAAACTTACATTAATTAAATACCTATATAAATATTTGAACGATATAATCTTAATAGGTATATGTAACTCTCGTGTCACAGTGTTTGTAAAACAACTCCTCCGAAACGGCTTCATCGATTCTTATGGAATTTTTTGTATATATTCAGTTGGTCTGAGAATAGGACGTAAACTATTTTTCATAATACTAAGTGATAAGGATGGTCCACCCCAACATTTTTTTTTTATTTTAGGTAAAAAAATTTTATTTTATTTTTTTATGATTCCGCATTAAAATACATACAAACCTAAATTTTCACTGGGGACGAACCCGAGCGAAGAGAGGGTGAGTCGCTAGTAAGTTTATACATTATTCCTTTTCCGTCAAATATAATCTACTAAAGCTCGCTGGTGTCTAATATTTGTTCGTCTCGTACAAATATTGCCAAATATTCAAGTTCTATTGGAATCGTCAAAGGGACTTCAAAAACACACTAAAGCTAATGACTACATAAGGCGTAAAAGTGAACCACTAAGGTGTTTTCGAACTCTGTAAAGGGATTTTAAAATTCTCATACTAGGTTTGTCAACAAATTTCTACCTTTGACTTCGAATGTGCGAATTTCTATTATAATATTATTGTAAATAATATATTTTATCCTAAATCAATACATATAATAAAATTGTGGCTGCGCCGAATCTATAAATTAACATTTTCTGAAAAATCTTATTGAAATAGTCAGCTGTCTAGCTGTGATCGCGACAATGTATAGGATACTTTTTAATGCCGGAGAATACCTTATTTTCACAGAAAAAATACAAAAACTGGATGAAATAAAACCACACTGAAACTATAAATAAGCAAGGTAACTAACAAAACAGTGTAAAAACAAATAGCTTCTGAAAAAAAAACTGCATAAATAGACAAATTCTTATATGACGTTAAAATTACTCCAAAAATATATGCGAGGCATCCTATATCAAAAAGAAACTCGTAGGATAATGATTGGTGCAAAAAGTTATTTATATTCCAAAAAAAACTAATGTACAGATATGACCTTTATATGATAAAATCATATCATAGAATAACTAGCATTACCCGCGACAAAAACAAATTATTCAACTTTGTATATAATATTATGTAGGCTGAAACAATTTTCACATGAAAATATTGGTAAATTTAAAAACATTTCATTTATAATAAAGCCAGCCAAATTTTTGGCCAGCAAAAGAAGAAGAAGACTCTTCTCAAGAAAGTAATATTAAGAAAAACTAATTTTATATAGTTTAAATAATCAGCTAAATATTACTTAATAGCTTAGGTTCAGTAGTTTCAGAGTTTATGCCATATTTAAATAAATAAACAATCCTTTCCTCTTCATAATAGTAGTTTACTATATACTAGCATTGCCCGCGGCCGCGCCCGCGTTCAGATGACCAAAAACCAAATTCATAGGTTTTACATATTAATATACTCTTACAATGCAGTATTTGTATTTTTTTCTCAGAAATGAGATATTTACCCGCGGTAAAAAGTTTACTATATGTTGACCCGGATAACCAGATATCACCATACCAAATTTCATCAAAATCCCTCCAGTGGTTTTTCCGTGATGCGGTAACAGACAGACAAAAATTCTAAAAACTATAGATTCGGCATTTGCATCGATAATAATGTTTATTTCAATAAGATTTTCCAAAAAAAATCTAATGTACAGATTCGGCTTAGTTACAATTTTATTATAATATGTGTAGATATTTTTTTTTCTTATATAATAACGTAACCAATAAGCAGTAACAAATAAACAAATAATATGTCCCCCGTGTACATTTTAAAAACATGTACTTAAAGGAATCTAAGCATTATAAAACATTGTTATATAACATAACATATAACAAGACCCAATTAAAATTTTTATATGGAATAACGCAGTCTAACGACATTTTACACATATTATTCATACAGTAAATTTATTAAACAGCTACCTATTAGAAACTAAAAATGCAGTATAAATATAATACTTGTATTCGACATTATTTTAAGTATTTTATCATGCGTAATGCCAAAAGTTATCTCCATAACGGCCCCTGAGAGCACGCGAATTATTCAATTGTCTTAATGAACTCATTTTTTGACAACTTCCTTTTTTTACACTCACGTATTGATTACACAGACAATTCATTATACATAACGTATAGAGAATAAACATATTTTCTATAGTATTTATATTTTTTATAGCTTTTTGTGTTCTTTATCCAACAAAATTGTACATACTTAGTACCTATTGCTATTTGATATACCTATCCATACAGATAAATAAAATTGAAGTGTCTGTTTGTAATGTCAAAATAACAGCGTTTTACTAAATGCATATGAAATTATATACGGTACTTATACTTATAAAACACATTTTTTTTAATTTTAGTCTGTCTGTCGGTTTGTTCCGGATAATCTCTGAAACGGCTGGACTGATTGTGACGGGACTTTCACTGGAAGATAGCTGATGCTATAGGGAGTAACATAGGCTACTTTTATTTTAGAAAAAAATTAGGGTTCCGCTCAAGAAAATTAAAATGTACTTAGGGAGCGAGGGTGAGTCGCTAGTACTAAATATGACTTTGGTGTTTATATGATTTTGGATTTTTTCCTTGATTAGCTAGACTAAGATTAGTTGTTGGATAGAACTAAGTTGTTGAATGAACGTAATTCAAACTAAATGTTAATTTTAATTTATTAAAAAATCATTACTCAATTTATTACTTGGTATTTAATATTTATGGAATGATGTTTAAAATTAGCTGTCAAGTTTATTTAATTTTTTTACAGATAATATATTATTATTAAAATATTTATGCATATAAACCTACATATTAAGTATTTATTTTTTCACAATATATAGGTAATATACCTACTACATAAAAGATGTCTATCATCTATATATATTCTATACTTTATACTTATTTCATAAAGAGGCAGAGTTTGGTTATTTGAGCACACTAATCTCAGGAACTACTTATGCGATTTGAAAAATTCTTTGTTCATTAAATAGGCCGTTTATTGAGGAAGGCTATAGGACTATATTATCATGCTACTACCCAAGAGAGCGGAGCAGTAATCATAAATGTCAACTAATCGGTCAACGTACTTCCATACATTATTGTAAAACTGATGTTTATAATCCAACCGCGGGTCACAGCTAGTTCAGAAATAAAATGTCAAATTACTAAAATGTACTTAAGATACCAATTAGTATTAAGAAATCAAAAACTAATGTTTATATTCAAACGAATGTTCTTATATTACGATGATAATATCTGACCTATGTATACATATATCACAGTTATTTTCTTTATAACGATATTTATACCAGCACAATCATTACATACATATATAAGTCAAGACATGTACTAACGGAAACGATTTTAGTTGTTTATCAGTTGCTTGTGAGATTCGACCGAACAATATGGTGTGTTTGAGTGCATTATTGCTACTTGTATTTACAACGAGTGTCCTTTCTGATGGAGGTGAGTAAATTTTTTTAGATGACATTTTCAATTCAATTAATTAAGAAATTTATAGCAAACAACCAACACTTGTTATTTGTAAAATTTCGTAAAAATCCTGTAAATGTTACCAAGTAATACCATGGTATTAATTGCTACAGTTGTATCTTATTTGCTAGAATTAATTTGATGGCATTAGAAGCTGTCTTATGTTTATAACTTTGCATGTAATATATGTTATGATAAAAGGAGACCAAATTTATATGAATAATTAATAACTAATCGTAATATTGATGAACAATTTCCATTTAAAAAAACCTCTTAAATAAACGCGTGTGCAATCTCGATAAGTAAAAATAATAAAAGAAACAGCGGACGATGTAAAATTATTTGAAAATTAGTTGCCCGTATTATCAAAAGAATAATGTATGTATAATATTAATAGATTGAAAATTATCTATCTTTGGTTTTAATTTGATAATTTTCTAATAATAAAATAATTGAATACAAATCTCACGGCATTGTTAAAATATTACATATTTTATCAAACAAGCGTGTCTGTTGGGATTTCCCGTCGGCAATATAAGCAGGCACTTAAATCAATCTCAATCAATCAATATCGATACCCATGTGTCTAACTTCAAAAAACTAACTTCAATACAAACTTTCATCTCCTATACAAAATTCATCTCCTAAAGTGGACAACCCTTTAAGAGATGAAGTTTCAAAAGTCCTTCCTTGATTTATAAACAAGTTTCATTGCTTTATAAATGATAAATAATTTAATTAATTAAGGCTGTGAGTTGTGACTGTGACACAGTTAATGAATTTGAGATTTTGAGAATGAGTTGATGTCATATTTTGAAAACAAACAATATATTATAGTGAAATGTAAATTTAATAAAATTAATTTATGTTAATCTTACAAAAATAATTTGAATATTAAATTATCTAAAACAGGAAAGGCAATTAATGTGAGTATATTTTGTGTACGTCATGTAAATCAGAAATAAAAAATTAAGAAAAGAATGAAATCATGTTTTTACAAAAGGATTTTAATCGAAGTTTGTTTCTAATTTGTAACCGACTTCAAAAATAAAAGTGCGTATTCGAGGCGAATATTTTTAAGTACTTATATTATTCACCGCTAAATCTACGACGGTTTAACAGATCTGACTAATTCATATTGTTTTATATTAAAGTACATCCCGTATAGTTTTTTTACATAGACTTTACAAGAAATATAGAAAAAAGGCTATTTTTATCTACTTCTAGTTATATTATTGACTTAGTATGTATGTATTTTCAATGTCAGTACAATAATTTAGTATCATTAATCTGATCGGAGCCAGGATGTGGATAGTTGAACTCTACAATGGCTACAATGGTTGAAAGCTATTTGGCCCTTGGCATTAGGATTTATTTGGTTTTGACGTGTCTAAATATGTCGAACTTGGATCTGAGAGTCCGATTTTGGTGTAAAAGTGTTTTTTTTTTGTCACTTACTAAAAACAAATTTTGTATAAGACATCAATAAATAACTTTTTGTTTTGGTAAGTGTAATAAAATTTTATTGATATATAATTTTATTCCACGTGCGCTAATAATACTATAATAAAAATATTTAAAGACCTGTTTAAGTGAAATAAAACCAAAGAATCTATTTAGATATGAACATAAGTCATAAAGTGTTTACTTTAATTATAAATAAAATATTATAAATACATATATTTATGATACATTTGTATCTATCAGTATAGATTTATCTACGATCCTACCTATTTAAAGTAAAAATCCCTTTCGGTTATTTTCTGCTTTTAGTATACAGCTGAAGTCTACATTTTTTCAAAGAAATTGTATTACATTTTGTCAATTATAAATATTTTTATATTTTTTTTAACTTTATATCTTTAATATAAATCTGTGTATAAATTTACAGTTACGTTAATGTTGCCTAAAGCTATAAGTTTTAATGATAAAATTTAAATGACATGCAAGCGCAGTTCAAACAAAAAATATCTATTTGATACGAAGTAACCTTTAGTTCTAAACAACTTTCGTTAACTTTGCTTATCTCAAGTTCAAGGTATTATGAGGTGTCATATAATTCTGAATAAATTTTATAGAATAATAAATATACTCATTTAATGGTAATAATTACTAATATCTATACCAATATTATAAATCGGAAAGTTTGTGAGTATGGATGTATGGATGTATGTTACTCTTTCACGCCAGAACGGATGAACGGATTTGGATGAATTTTATCATGGAATAACACAAAGGCTACTTTTTATCCCGGAAAAATGTACGGTTCCCGTAGGATAATTTTTTTTGTTTTTCTAAAGCTGTGAGCCGCTAGTTTTAAATAATTTATCTAAAATATTGCGATTCCGTTTTTTGATGCCTCTGTTTTTATTTTCAGAATCCTTACTTATAGCCTGTTCAATAGATGATACAGAATGCCTCAGCAAAACTACACAGCAATTTTTGGAAAAAACCTGCAAAGGCATACCAGCTTATGACATAAAGGCTATCGACCCTTTGTTCATACCAAATCTAGACATTAACCTCAGTGAAAAAGCGGACACGGTATTGCACTTCAAAAATCTTAATGTCACCGGACTGAAGGATCAACAATTTTCGGAATTAAAGTAGGTTTCTAATATATGTGTATATTTTTATTTGATAACAGTTGAACTAGTCTCCTTCAAATAAGTGGGATAATATGCGTGTCTATATTTATAATGTTATCTGCGGTTCCGCCCACATAGTTTATACATGTGTAATTGCCTATACTCTTAAAGATAATAACGTAAAATACAGTCTATAGACTTTTTTAAAAAATGGGTGTGTGTAACCTTTATGCGCGGTTGAAGTAAAACTTCTTTAGCAAATTATATTTCTAAGACAATAACAACGGTTATGGCAACATGGCAACGTGTTCTATCTCATTCTCTCGCCGGCTTAATCCTATATATTTATTTGTTTGTCTCTTTTTAGTGTCGCATTTTCGTTTTATCGAGTTTCAAGTCCCAATGATTCTAAAGAAGTTTCACTTCAAAAAGGCTATATTAAGCAAAAAGAATAGTTCGACTGTCTGTTACTTTTAGAGAAAAGCTTGTTCAAACAAACTCTTCAGCTTATTATATTAATATAGATTTATGTACATACCTTTCTGTATAATTACTAACGTAATATAACTATATATTTGAACCCGCTAACCTCGAAAAGGAATGGAACGGATTTTCCCTGACGGAGAGAGAGAATTTGGGCTAGCTCAAATTCTTTCTCCAACAAGACTGACATAAAATTATTTAAAATGTCAAATATTCGCGTAAATCTAATAAAGTATTAGACTGGCATAAGCTTTTACATAAAAGTTAAACTCTTATTTATCAAAAAATATACGATTAGTTTTCACAATTTATATCAGTGTCAAAATAAAACAATAATTATAACAAATCTAAACAACAGTGTTGCATTTAACAGGATGGACACTAAACAAAAATCTGTTGTACTGCAAACTCGAATGAACTTAAATATAGTTGGAGATGTCACCATAGAGCTTAGTAAAGGCTCTAAATCGTTTTCTGGTGCTTATACAATTAAAGGAAGTAAGTATTTTATAGCTTTTTAATTTAATAAAGCACAATTCATTCTAATTTAAAGCAAAATATATTTCAACGAAGTTGTTAACTTTTACAAATTGCTGAAATGATCTACATGTTTACTAAATTAAATACAATTCTATCCAGCCATTTTACCTTATAGGAGGGAACGAACATACACACACAGACATATAAGCATTTACATTTATAATAGTAGGAACTTTTTTCTCTTTGTTTTATAATTTTAAACATTGATATTTGGACATTTGAGTTGATATTTGAGTTGAGATTTGATTTTGAGACGAATATTGATAAAGCAATATTCGTCGTTTAATTTTACCCTGATTTTTTGCAAAATTAGCTAACTGTGTCATTGGCTGAATCCACTACGAATAAGGATTTTTTATTTTTAATACTAGATCTTATGTACAGAGAAATAGCTTCTAGTTTACATTCAAACTGCAGTTCGAGATTTTTAAATCTCAATAGATTTATGTATCATCGGGATATACGGATTCTCTTAAACGAGAGTTTGTGGTTTATTAAATCGAATGGAATGGTTGAGCATATCAATAGCAGGCTAACATACCGCAAGTTTAAAAATATATTTCCAGCTTAATGGGATTGAATAATTACTCACTCATACTTTAATGAATAGTTGCTTTTACGAGCGCATATAATTGAATTTGTGAGTGATTTAGTGTAAAACATTAAATGCTAGTCGAATTCACGCACTGAGAATTCCTTATCACCAAGCAATTTTGTAAATGTTTTAGATATTGTCCGATACATAAAATAATATAAGTTATGTAGTAGTGTAAGTTATTTTGAATAGCAGTTGATACCCCGAGTTGTAATCACAGATGGTCAGTTATTGTTGTATAGTATTTTACTTAGAACTTGCAAGAAAACCTAAGCTTGTTTGTTAACCAAGGAGAGATAAGGCACAGGTCCGATGGCTTTACATGCTCTCCCAGGCATGGGGGTGAAACATCGCCAACTTCCCAACTCCGGTTCAAATTCAAATATTGACAATTTCTTGACAGAAATAATCAATAACTGATTTTTTTTTTCGATTGCCGAGTTAGGCCAGGACCTCCGGATAAGCGGTTATTTAAATACAATGCGATACGATACCACTATTTATGCCTATATTATATATAAAACTAAAACAAAACAACTTAATATATTTAGTGAAAATCTGATTCGGCTACTTATAAAAATGAAACAGCCTTTTATAGTAGACAGATTGATAGATAGATTGGCGGACAGTCTAGAATATTTATATGCCGTCTTCTAAAGTTCATTCGTGAGTAGTTTCACACTAGAAATGGTACACATCGAATTCATGTTGTCCTCTTTGTTCTCCAGAAATAAGCGAAATATTAACTCAAGGATGAAATAATCGTGCCAATTTACAATCAATGTCACATCAATCGAACCAATCAATGAACTGTAAATCATTTGTCTGTTTCCAGAAAGCAAGTTGTATGTATGCTATACTAATAAACAGAGTTGTAGTTCCTTGCTCTGATTTAAATAATATAAGGAGCAAATCACGGTCTCGCATCTCTTCTAAAATTCTTATGTGTAAATTGTTTTGAACATAATTACAACATATCTTAAGGTGAAGGAAAACATCGCGAGGAAAACTGCATATCTGAGAGAACTAAGCAAGTTTTCGAAAGACATTTGAAGTCTGCCAACCAACATTTGGCCAGCGAGGTGGACTATGGCCTGATCCCCTTTATATAATCAAAGACCCGTGCGCAGCAGTGAGGCGTTAAATGGGGGTTTCTTTATTTGCACAAAACTCAAACAACCTTTAAAAATTTGCCTGACAAGATGTTTATAGCCACTCATCTTCGAAATAGATTTTAGGAGAACTTTTACTGAATTAAAGAGAATAAATAATACTTTTTATCCCGGGAAATAAACACTCCCGCTGAATATACCGCTTTCTGGATTCTACCGGAACTTTTACCGACGTGTTAAAGAGTTGGATGGGAATGATGGACTATCTTTTGTTATCATAACACATGAGCCATAGTACAGTAAATTAGAAAAAAAAGATGTTACCATTTTATGCTTTAATTAATCAGAACAAATTTTTTATATCTTATTTCGTGTTATTGTCTTGTAAGGTGTTTATTATATTTCTAACTATAAGTATTATTTTACCTCCTATGTATCATTTTAAATGAATAAGTTAATAATAAATATGTTGGCACATTAACACACAGAACCATCTAGTTCCATGGTAAGCTACGAGGCTTGTGTTATGGATACCAGATAGTTGATACACTAAACATGTATAACTTTAAATACATACATATTATAAATATAAACACCCATGACTGGAGTACAAACAATCGTACTCTTCACACAAATGAATGCCCCAAGCGGGACTCAAACCTGCGACCGCTGGTACAGCAAGTAGGCTCATTACAATCTGAGCCAAACGTGTCATCCGTATATGTTATTTATTTTATCTAACTTTTTATTATTATTATCTAAATTTTTATGTACTTATTTACAATACTATATTCAGATATTTAAAAGCTGTTAAAGCGTTTAAAACCAACTGAATTTGGTTTACGATTAATCTCCTGTCCGTAGCGAGGACCCGACATTTCTCTAAATCCGAGCTTTTTAGTTAAGCTAAGTTTAAGTCTCTAAAGTAACATTACTGTTTAAACATCCTTTAGTTAAATCTGTTTCAATATTTTAACGCTTTACATTTCCTATGATTATTATTATTCTTTGTCTATATATTTTTAGTGTAATAACGTATTTTTTATTTAGTTAAAAATAAAATACATACCTATACTCTTAAAAATGCTTAGAATAGACGTAGCTTTTATCCCAGAGTAAGTATATTGCTCTTGTACCCTTAAGTCTTCAATATATTCTACAGTCAATTCAACTGAAACTGTTACAATTTCCTTACTGTTTCGCTGGAAGAATAATACGAAACTATATCAAACAATTTCTGGGTTTGGTATAGAGAAAAATTCTGAAAAGTATAAAAAACACTAACAAACAAATCACACTCTAGGGAAGCAGCTGTTGAATATTGTATTTATTTAATATTAGAGGATTCCCGCAGTTTTATCCTTGCGTGAAGGAAGTGTTTGCGCCATTAACTTCGAAATTTCATTTTATTTCTTTTATCTTTAGTAACCAGGCATGTTTTCAATTACTTATGTTATTACACCATGTTACTGAATTAGTACACCCTTTTGTATAAAGATGCCTTTATAATTTCTAATGCGATTTTTTTATATATCAACTAGCGACTCACGCTCGCTTCGCTCGGGTTCACCCCTAGGTTGATTCCCCATACAAACTTTCATCCCCATTTTTACCCCCTTAAGGAATGATTCCGAGATAAAAACTATCCTATGTCGTTCCCAGGGTCTCAAACTATCTTCTTATCAAATTGCATCTAAATTGGTTCAGTAGTTTCGGAGCCTATTCGGTATAAGCAAACAAATAAAAATGCGCGTCTACGGTTCCTACGGACGCCACGATTTGAAGGCTGATTGATTGATATTCATACTTGATTCGCAAAGATCTTTACGAGATATGCCGAAAAGTATAATTTTTGTCGATATCTTTCTTAGTTTCCGAGATATCGATAATCAAAAATCGAAAAATGAAATATTTTGTTTGACTTTTTTGACGGTATTTGATTTATGTTGCAATCTTTATTACCGACGTAAGATAATTATAAGTTCAACAAATACACTCTAGCGGCCAAAATTCAAACTTTTATGTTCATACATTCAAAATACCTATATTTCAAATTTATATAAATTATATTTTTACGAACAAATACACTCTAACAGTCAAATGTTTTTTTAATTAGATTTCCATCCTTGCAGATCTTCGAGTATCGATATCTCGAAAGTTAATCAAGATATCGAAAAATGTTACTGTTAATTTTCGTTTTATTTTTCAAAAATGAAACCGTCAAAAAATGTCAATAAAACATTTATCGATTTTTGAGTATCGATATCTCGGAAACTAAACAAGATATCGAAAAAATTTATTCTTACTTTTCGGCGTATCTCGTTGAGATCTATGTATAGGAATCGGCCTTCAAATCGTGACGCCGTAGGAACCGTAGAATCCCCACCAAAAAAAATCAAATCTTTCCTCTTTATAATATTAATATAGTAAATCAAAAGTTGCTACAAAACATCATATCGATCAAAATTAAATTTAATGGTATTATTAACATATAACAATACATTACAATATCAATAGGATGTACATAATATTAATATTACTAGTCACATCCTTCAATTCTGCTTATTCCACATATTTATATTCCGGTCATTTCTATTAAAGCCATTTTTTCAAGTTTTGCATTATTAAAAATAGCCTTTATAAATAAGTTATTTTTCTATTAGTGATAGGATTTTTAAAATATTCCTATTTAAAAAAAACCAGAGATTATCCTCAATGTATACACAAGTAAAAGAGCAAACAGGTTGTATAATAGAAATTTTTTTAAGTTCTTTTATCTCACTCAACAGCTGCATTAGGAACAACAAGATACGGATACGACTACAAGTTTGATGATAAAGGTGTGGAACATTATGAAGTTGGACCGGAAACAACAAGTTGTCAAGCTGTGAGTGACCCAGAAGTAATCGTAAGTCCCGAATTAAGCGAAGCGTTAGAATCAGGTTAGTTACCATATTTACTTATACGACATTTACATGTACCGACTGACAACAAATAACGGATAAACGTCATCCTGACCCATATGTATTAAAGGTTCATAAATCGCACTTAGACTTTAAAGAAATATCTCATAGTTTTGTCAAACGCTTACTTTATATTACGGTGAAGGAATCATCGTAAGGAAACCTGCATATCTGAGATAACCTAACCTTAGCTAGAGAAAACCGTACCTTGCCTAGTAAAGACAGAGCAGTCATTATTAGTTACTCTGGATAGAAACTAAACTAATCGATAACCCAATAAGTTACATACTGACATACATCAATATCAAATTATGGCAGAAAAAATCATTTAAATCAGATTATTAAGCTTAGAAATATGTCCTATAGACTATCAAGTTTGATAAATCAAAATTATTGAAAGTAAACTTCGAAACGTAAAGTTCATTTTGCGACATAAACTTTGACTTAAAATAAAATTAGGATTATGAATCTCACCTCGTATTCGTTTCTATGTATGTACTGTATGCTGTAAGAACTTTTATTTAACTCAACAGCTAAATCCGCGAGCATATTTCATATTAGTTGTATAGAGTGTAATCGCGTGTAAATTAAGCTGTAAAGTTACATAAAAATTCTGACAGAATAACACTACTGTAGTGTAGCGCATTCACCGTGCTGGTGCCGAAGCATTTAATTTTTGAAAACACACACACACACATACAAATCAAATCAAAACTAGTAAATCCAAATCCATGGGAGCACTCACATTGAAACAGTCAAGAAACACGAAGCCTCTTGTAATACAATACTATATGTATATATTATACTATATTAACTAAAACTAAATAATAATATAAATCAGATATTTATAAATCTAATATATCATAAATATATGCATTGTTTCAAATATTATAACATTATTATTTTACATTTTTTGCAGATAAAGAACTTAAGGAAAGAAAACAGAAATATAGCGCCAAAAAGAAGGAAATTCAGAGAAATGTATTGTGTAAAATAGTAGAAAAAGCATATATTACTGTCGTGCACAACATCCGAGCTGCTGCAAAAGTTTTGCCAAGAACTGCATTTATAAAAGATGATTAGATGAAAATCTATAATACAATAAAAATATACCATAATCTAAATTTCATTTAGGAACAACTACATTGTACAATTAAAATGTTTTGTCTCGCATATTATTTCATTCGAGAACTTAAAAAAATTATAACAAAAACCCAAGTTAGTAAAGAAAAATTCAAAAAGTAATCTATATCTATACTAATATTATAAAGAGGTAAAGTTTGTGAATTGTGAGTTTGTGACGTTGTAGGGGTGTGATCTCTGAATCTACTGAACCCATTTAAATGAAATTTGGTAAGAAGATAATTGAGACCCTGGGAAGGACATAGGATACTTTTTATCCCGGAAATAACCCCTCAAGGGGATCAAAATGGGGATGAAAGTTTGTTTGGGGAATCGAGCTGGGGACGAACCCGAGCGAAGCGAGGATAAGTCGCTAGTAAGAAAATATTTTTGAAACAATTAAGGCGTATAATAGAGGTTAAACATTTATTCACAATCAATTCAAACCAAACAAGTGTACAAAATCCGTTATTTTTAAAATTAAAACATAATCTCCTTGATGAAAAATTACGACTACTAATTCAAAGTTTTAGATATTGCATCTTCTAGGACTATGGACGAAAAATAAGGGATTGGAGATTTGTTCGTTTTAAACAAATATGGAATTGATTTGATGAATGAGTGAAAACAATTTTTGGAAATATCTATAGATCTAGATACCCAAGATAAGACGCGGGCGGAGCCGTGGGCAAACGCTTGTTTTATATATACTAATATTGCAAAGAGGCAGAGTTTCTTTAAACGTCTAATCTCAGGAACTACTAATCCAATTTGTTTTTTTTGCATTAGGCCCATTGAGGCAGACTGTAAGATATATGTATATCATATAATATATAGTCTGTCTATTCCATACTACCCGCTAAAACGTACCTAGGGACGAACTCGAGCGAAGCGAGGTGGAGTCACTAGTGTATAATATTTAGATAATAATGGTATCACTTTTTACTTCAGATATACTCGTACAATATATATTCGCATATATCTGAAGTAAAAATAATATTGCAATTATTCATCGAGAAATTGAAGCGTTATTAATTTATTTTAGCTTTTAGGCGTATTTATAAGACTCGCATAACCTTTGACCTGAAGATAAAGTTTAAAGTAATAATAATAAATTTAACAAATAAACCATTAAGAAAATATCAGACAATTGCCACGAGTTGGGTATAAAATGACGCGGTTAGTAAACAATCATTTAGGCAAAACTGCTAAGCTGCTTACTGATACCAGTCTCGAGTCTTCTAATCCATACAGTCTAACGAAAGTGTAGACAAGGTAATCGTGCGGAACATCCAAGGTATTTTTTTTGCACGTGCAATATAAGGACAATAAATAAAGTTTTTTATCAAAGCAGAAACCCATAATGAGGCCGGCCGTCAAAGGTTAGGGGACTATGAGACTCACCCTTCCTAAGCCCACAGGGAACCTTATCGTCACAATACAACGAGGTGCTGCAGGATCGCTCCCAAAGAACACCTTATCCTTTTTTTTAATGTTGGGAAATGCATTTAGGCACGAAGTATGTGACTCACCGGCAAAGCCAGTACTACTACTAAAACCCAACGAAACCTCTCCCGTCTTAATGGAGCGTCGCAGGATCGCTCACGCATTCAACCACGACGCCCCGACAGCAGGTCTGCCTAAATAGACCACATGGGCCTTGTGGACTATCGGGTTGCTCCACGGTCCACTCTGCTATCAGAGTAGTACCAGGAGCAACCCACATAGCCCACTGCCTACCGAGGTGGCTCGCCTCCCAGTGCATTTCTTGGCTTCACGCCCGATTGTGTTGCCGGGCACTACTGAGCCCCCCACCACGACAAGGTGAACGCACGTTTGGGGGGACCTAAAATATACCTAGAATAACCTCTACTTAGGTTTGTCACTGTGAAAACTTATAAAACAGAAAATCAGGAATATCAGTAACTACCTACCCACAACTCACCGAGGTTAACTTGTACTAATCATAATAACCAATACCTATCGTGGAAGCATAGGTTGGATTGAATAAACTTGATCTAGGTATTTCACATAAAAGACGCACATATCAATGAAATATCAACTTTACGTTTTCGATTTTAAATAACCTGCCAAGTATGATCCTCAAAGTGAGGCATGAAGTATCACCTAACTTGGAAGTTTTTATTAGAAAAACTAATATCACGAACTTTACGTTTGTACAAAACGGAGATTTGTTTGTGAAAAACACGAATATGCTAGCGAATAGCAACGCAAAATTTATTTGGGAAAATAAAATGTTCACTCACAAAAGAAGGAAAAATACTACTGTCGAAAAATATTAAGGAAATGTTTGTATTGTGTGAGAATTAAAAAAATATACTAAAATATTTGTATTGTGTGAGGATAAAAAAAAAGATTTATCTTTTATCATGGTTTATGTCTAAAAATTACTCCATCTTAATTTTTTTTATTTATGCTTGGAATATCGTCATTTTAATAAAATAAAACATTTTACCAAACCTTATAACAAATACATAAGTATAATAAGTATTAATAGGTAATAAATACTGGTTGTTACTAAAAGTAATTTATATTAAACACCTCTTTAGATTAAATATTTTGCACTTAATAAATCTATTTAAAAATATATTATTTATAATAATACTATAAAATATATAATATAATTGATCTATTGTAAGGCATGTAAAAAGTTCAGTTATTTAAATAATATATAATTTTAAGTCAGGCTGAATTAGGATCGAACTTAGCTTAAGAAATTCTGGAACTATTTTAAAATGTAAATTTAATACCAAACTCCAACGAAAACCAAAAGAATTTTCGTTTCTTAAACTACATATTAAATTTAAAATTAGAGAAAAATTATTCTAACCAAAACAATAATAATAATAATAATAACTTTTTGAATGAAACTTATAGTAAGTTACTAATATAAAATAATTATACATCCATATTATTCTTGTTTGTTTTTTGTACTATAGGTATAACCTATAACAAAATTACAAAGTATATATATAAATAGTTAATATTTTGTCACCTTTTTTTTTTTTAAACCGACATTCCCCTCCCCTCCGCCTTAATGGGACGCCGCAGGATCGCTTGCGCATAACTACTACGGCGCCCCGGCGGCAGGGCTGCCGAACGGCTGACCACCACACCGATGGGGCTGCTCCACAGTCAACTCTGCTACACCAGAGAGGTACCCGGAGCAGCCCCATTAATCCGAACCTCCGCCCACCGAAGTGGGCCACCTCCAATCGGCTGCAGAGGACAGGGAGAGCGGCAACGAAACACCGACACTCCTCTTCCCCTGCAGCCCCACCGCGTCCGTCATCAAACGGTGGCGGCCCCGCTAGGCCACGGGAGATAGGGACGAGCGGCGCATCGCCATACCGACACTCCTCTTCTCCCGCGGCCCCCCTACCGTCAGCCCACTTCCGGACCAAAATGGCTGCCGACACCCCACGCCAGACGCAGGACCACGGAACTGGCCCCGCTCCAGCCGCCGCACCGACGGGCTAGCCCCGGCAGCGCGGCCCGCGCAGCGCCTCCTACCGCGAAACGGTCGGAGACACCGCGCTACCTCCAAGAAGGAGACGGCGCCCTCCTGACGCCGCTCCCCCCTCCCCTCCTGGCTGTTGTTCCGCGCCGGATTGCTCCGGTACCACAAGCTCCTGTCGGGTCCAAACAGTCGCGAGTGGTGTTCCCCTATCCGCCACCCGGGGGACGCTTTTGTCACCTTATTCAAGTACCTTTAAGAAATCTTTTTGCCAATTAATTATTACTAACCTATTTTTTTAAATCTGCAAAAAATCGTACACTAGTTTAACAATAAAAGCATAAATTCGTGACACAGCCAAAATAAATAAGACACATTATTCTGGTCCCTGTTTGTTGAATTTGTATAAAAAATTAAGTATACGCGTCATATTTTAGTAGAATGCGATGTACAGAAATGTAGGAGGTAACGTATGCTAATAAAGGTTAAAATTGTGGAAATTATTTTTAGAAAATTTTACATTAGGGTGGTACCTACGTATGTATATTTTACAGAAACATGGCATTGTTTTCTGAGTGTCCTGTTAGAGTAATAACTTATACAAATTTGCATGCCGAAATTAACGAACCTTTGCAATGAACTTTTGAAACGCGATAAGCTTTAAAAGCATCCGTTCAAACACCTTCTTTAAACGTCAATGATCTGCATGTCAAGATAATACGGTATTATGAAGTATTCGAATAAAATAAAATTATTTTTAATATTATTGGTGTTGTTTTTTGTTTTTTCGACTTTTAATTACATAACTTATAAAATATAAAGCTTTGTGTTTGTTTGTTTTTTTCTTTCCGCTGCAAATTTTAAACGAATTAATATTTTTAGTGAAATTCGGAACGGGCTTATAATGAATTCAGGATGAATAAACACACACGTTGCTTCTCATCGACATACGAGTATATACTTGCCACGCGATTTTTCCTCCTTCCGCTTCCTCGTTTTCCGCAGGCAAAATCTATCAAAATTTTATATTTTTATTTTTAAATTTATATTTTTACTAGCAGTACCCGCGGCTTCGCCCGCGTCCAAACTTTCGATCGCTAACAAAATTCACAGAATCACCCGCTGGGCTAATCTGAAAATTACCTGAAAATTTCATCAAAATCTCTCCAGCTGTTTTGGAATCCATAGGAAAGATACTGTATACACACATCGATTTTTATTTTATTTAATCAACAATTTAAATTTATTTATTGCTCGGCAAATGGAGTCCTTTATGAAAATTTAGTGACACACCGACTGCAGCGCCAACGACCGCACCGACTGCAGCGCCACCTATCGGATTCAATTGTATTTTAAACCATCCATCAGCCCATTGAAATATACACACAAAATTTCATTCAAATCGGTCTAGCCCTTTCGGAGGAGTAGTTTAACAAACACACGTACAGAAGAATTATATATATATATATATATATATATA